AAGGAAGGACCTTGCAGAAAAACAAAATTTTCTTGTTTTAGCAGTTATGTCCAGTTAAGAGTTTTAGTGTATATCTTTGGGAATTTGAAGAGAGAGTCAGTTACCACTATCCCACTGTCTTAGACGAAAATGAAGTGAGGAAAGAAGAAAACATCAGTAGACATTATAGTGATGATTCTAGGGGAAGTATATTCCCATCAGTAATGACAGGTTGGTGATTAAGAATGGGAATGGAAAGAGGAAAAGAAAGCATTCAAGAATTTCAGAGCTTTTGTGTCTTCTCTTTCCTCTCTTATCAGTCTACACAATCACACTCAAGCAAGAATGTGACAGTTAAGAAAAATTCAGACCAGCTTTGTAGATTCAGACCTGCTCTCTCTCAGTGATTTTTGGTTGACTGTTAGCTCATCTTTCCATTGATTTATATATCCCATATCTGGACTTAGGATCTGGGAAACGTGATCTAGTGACATAATAGTGTTAAATTTTTTTTAATTTTATTATTTTTATTGTATGTGTATGTAGTGTATTTCCTGCATGTAAGTGCACCCGTGTCATGCGGTGCCCACAGAGGTCAGAAGAGGCTGTTGGATCCCCTGGAACTGGAGTTACAGACAGTTGTTAGCTGCCATGTGGGTGCTGGGATTCAAACCCTGGTCTTCTTCAAGAACAGCTAGTGTTTTTAACTGCTGAGCCATCTCTCCAACCCAATAGGGTTAAATTTGAAGCACATTCAATTTCTCAATTCATGTGTATGGGTGCACATTGCCTCTTACATTTCATTTTATTTAGACAGGGTCTTGCCAGGTAGGCCAGACTAGTCTCAAACTCTCGATCCTGCCACCTCAGCTTCCAGAGTGCTGTGCTGGTATTATAGGTATATGCCGCCATGCTTGGCTTTCAATTTGTTTTTAATAAAGCCTTTTAATTTTATCCTTTACTTTCCTGGTGACAAACTTATCATGACATTATATATAGTTCATGAAACAAACTGAATCAAAATTTTTGAGGACTTAGAAATGTTAACATATAATGGATTAATATTTTTTATTATTAAAGTGATTTTTTTGGTGTTAAAGCTTTTAAAAATCTCATTTTAGCCAGGTGTGGTGGCGCTCATCATTTGTCCCAACACTCGGGAGACAGAGGCAGGCTGATCTCTGTGAGATACAGGCCACCCAGGTCTACGTAGTAAGTTCTAGGCTAGCTTGAGCTACAGGGAAAACCTGTCCCCCCCCAAAAAAAAACCAAAACAAAACTCATTTTAAGCTTTTGTTGGTTTCTCTCATTTTAGTAATGTGCCACATAGAAGTTACTTTCTTTTACCAGCATTCATAGATTGCAGGCAAGCTGAAGACGCTGTGTCGAGTACTTCTTGGACTAGGGGTGGGACACAATAGCAGAGTACTTTGCCGGAAGCCTTGAGTTCAGTCTCCAGCACTGCAAATAGCAAACTAAAGAAAATATCTTGGCTTCATAAAAGGTTGTTCTTGAATGGAGGTTTTGAATGGGATAACATGTACTATACATTCGGGATTTGCTAAGTCAGCTTGGACAGTTTTCTCCATTTTAATGGGAGATTTGGTTTTATATGTGAAAATGTGTTGTATAACTGTCTTACAGCTTCACTGTCTGAATACTCCATCATTCTTTTGATAATTGCCTTTTGGAAATTTTCCACTACGAGAAATGCTCAAAAATATTTGAAATTCACCCAGCAGTTTTAACCTGAAATTTTATAGTATCGACATTTCTGTAACTTAGTTTCAAACTGAGCAGATACTGTGTTTCTAGAAGAGACTACTTGTAAGCAAAAAGTATTTCTATGCCAGAGATTCTGGTGAGAGACAAATTGTTCTGGTCAAGTGGCTCTATGACTTATTTTCCACATAAATGAATTAAAAATGTTGAAAAGTAGTATTTTGAGGGTCATTGAGGCATTATTGAGATCTGTTGTATACTTATATAACTTGATTTTTTAATTTTTTATTATAAATATTGTAGAATTTCAAAGTATACTTTAAAGTACTGTAAGCTATTGCAGTATGTACTGTTAAATTGTCCATTATTGCATCTTTTGGCTTACACAAAGAAGTGATGTCGTTTTATTTTGTATTTGATTACCAAAACTACCTCTCTTTAATACAGTCTTTTCTTAATGCTGTTTCTACATTGTAATCGCCTGCAGAGATCAGTTCATTTCCAGAGAGCTTTCTGATTCAAGAGTCTCTCTGCTTTAAGTAACTGCTCAGCTAGTGATTGACTCCAGGATTAAAACTGACTATTCTACTGAAAGCAGTTTAGCTGGTTAGGTTCTCTTACTTTACTAACATGGCCTGGTTTTTCTGTGAGTTTGAGGAGACCATTCTGTGGTGACTAGTTGTTAGTCCAGGTCATCCTCACTTGTGGACCCACTGAAAAGATTAATGCCGGTCCAAAGCAAGAACATAGTGTATAGGACATCTTTACAGATGATCTGACTACAGGTAAATTAGTTGCTCAGAATTCTGTTTCTGGGCTATAGTTTGCTGGAGTGTGGTTTGCTGGAGTGTAGCACAGCAAGGTCATGGCCCTTGCTGTTAGGAATAGTCACCAACACTATTTCCTTTATCATCTGCTTAAAAGGATTTGTGTGTTTGCTTGGGTTGCCATAACAAAGTCCCCAGCTCGTGGTTTAGGCAACGGAATTGGTTTTCTTACAGTTTTAGATTCAAAAATGAAGATCAAGGTTTAGCAGGGTTTGGGTTTTTTTGTTTATGAAGGTCTTTCTGGCTTACACATGGTCTGGGAAGTAATATTTGATTACGTAGGGTATCATCCCGAGGGCCCCACCTTTTATGACTTAATCTAGAATCAAAGCCAGATAATATTTTAACATTAATAATTTAAGGAGATTAGGGCTTCAGTGTGTAAGTTTGGAGGAATACATAAAATAACAATATACTTTTTCTCAATGGAATTTGGGGAGAAATTACTTAAAGTTGCAGAATTACTTTTTTTCCCCAGAGTATGTCATTTTGTTTAAGGTCTAAGATACTGTAAGTTACTTAATGACATGATGGAAGGTATAAGTACATTTCATGCTTTCTTTAGTAACTTTGTGATAATTACCTCTATTATAGAGGTAACTAAAGATTATGAACAAACATCATTATGGTCAGCCTAGTTTAATTTGTAATTTTATATTTATGACTCAATAAACTGTAACTTCTGGAAATTCAGTGGAAATAGTACCCCCATGCCATGAGTTTAAATAAAAATTAAAACATATTTCAGTTGGTATTGTAATAGGCTTTACACGGTTTTATCAGATTAAAATTTCACTAGTTTACCTAGTGTTCGTAACATGAAATAAGAAAAGTGGCCACTTCCTGAATTCTTAGCCTAAATTTAAGTTCTACCATAGTTTTTGGTATATCGGTAGGGCTAGTTTATTTAACTTTATACAACAGTTAAGACAAACTGTTCTGAGTTTGCTGTTCCAGTGTTTAAATTCTGTTGTTACATTGAATCTTTTTTATTGTTGAATCTCCTATGATGTCCCCTTTCTCCCCCTATTCATTAAGACAAAGAAATGGACCGAGGGTGGTGGCGGGAGCCTCTAATCCCAGCATTTGGGGAGGCAGAGGCAGGTAGATCTCTGTGAGTTCAAGGCCACCCTGGTCTACATAGTGAATTCCAGAGGATCCAACACTCCTTGTTTTTTCTTTTTTGTCTTTTTAGGACAGGATCTTCCTGTAGCTCCAGCTGGCTTGAACTCACTATGTAGACCAGACTGGCCTTGAGCTCACAGAGATCTGCCTGCCTCTGCTTCCCAAGAGCTGGGATTAAAGGTGTGCACCACCACGCCTGGCTCCCACCACCCTCTTCTGACCTCTGAGGGCACTGCATGACATGGGTGCACTTAACATACATGCAGGTAATACATTCATACACATAAAAATAAAATAAAATTGATAAAATTAAAAAAAAAATGTTCCAGTTGTGGTATCACATGTTTGTAGCCCATTAATCCCAACATGCCAGCAACCATAATAGTAAAATAACTTTCAGAATCTAGCAGAGTTTAGATTTAAATTTCAGATTAAATTTTTCATTATATTTAATGTATGTGTACCTGTATGTGTGCCATGGCTTATGTGTGGAGTTCAGAGGACTTGTGGGAGTCATTTCTCCTTCCACCTTGTAGTTCACAGGATTGACAGGTCATCAAGCTGGTCTGCATAACCTTTACTCACTAAACCATCTCACTGACCCTGTATTTAATTTTTTTTAATCTGTCAAAATTTAATTTGTTCTTCATAGCACTTTCGTAATTTTTTAAAATTTTAATTTAAGGTTTATCCTCCCTTCCCTTCCCCCTCTGTCTAGGAGGTTTTTTTAAAAAACTTACTTTATTTTACATGTATGAATGTTTGTCTGCATGCCTGTAAGTGCACTGCATGTTTGCCTGGTGTCACAGACTCTGAAAGTGAATTTATGGACTGTTGTGAGCTGCCATGTAGGTGTTAGGAGCCAAACCCAGGCAAACCCAGGAACCTTGCCCCTCTGGAAGAGCGGCAAGTCCTCTTAATTGCTGACCCATCATTCCAGCTTCTTGTTTTGTTTTTTTGAGACGTTATCTCTAAGTATCTCAGACTAGTCTAAAAAAAAAAAAAAAAAAAGAAAACTTCTTTGCCTTTGCCTCGGTCTCCCAAGTGCTGGATTATAAATGTGCACCACCACTCACTACTCAAATACAATGTCAAAAGAAGTCAAAGAAGCAAAGGAACTCACAAAATAGAGAATAACTAATATTCAGAAATAATATCTATTCTGTTTTCTAGAATAGATTTATAATTATAGTGTATATATAATAGACTACTGTAATTTGTGCTTACTCAACAAATGCATTCAAAATAACTTAAAATGGGACATTCCTAGACATTTCCACCAAACCTGGTATATTTATAACCGTTTTTAAATTAGTACTTAAGTTTATATTGACAAAGGTATATGTGTGAGGCAGTGATGACTCACTTGCCCTCACTGAGAACAAAGTTTGATAATGAGAATCTTTGTTATGGACTTGTTTTGAGCCAGGAAAAAAAAAAAAGTGTATGTGTGAAAGAGATACAAGTGATAAAGACAGAGAGGAGGCAATATGTTTGCTTAATTTGTTTTGGTATCTCATTTAAAATTTTTCCTAAAATTGTGTATTTTAAGACATGGAAAATGCGTGTATCACCATTTTGTATTAAATGCTTTTTAAGGTCCATTTCTTTAGGTCTTGCCTTCATCTGCTCTGTGCACTAAGGATCTGCTGTAGCAGTCCATATATTTTTATCTTAATGTTTCTTTAGGATTATAGTGAGATTTATCCAGAGATTGTATATGAGTGCACATGTATTCCAGATGTTACAAGATGAGTACACTGTGGTTCTATTTCATTTCTTCCTCTTTTTATTAGAAAGTATCTTCATTGTTTTGTGCTAATAAATTTGTCCCTCATAATTTGATTCAGATCTAGAAATAAAATTTTCAGCTCATTTTGTGTTATAAGGCAGCTTCATCCTACCTTGCAATCACTTTCAGTACTGACATAAAAGATTTCTCACAGCACAGAATAAAGTCTGGTATCTTGTCAGATGCACATTTAAATGGTGGATGGATGGCCTTTTGAAATGGCCTTTTGCCTATCTGTCTTTCAGGTGTTGAAAGGAGCACTTTGGTCTTCTGCCTCAGTGTTACTTTCTCATGCACTGCACTCATCGTTGTAAAAAATTGGTGTGCGGGTAAAAATACCTTTTTTTATGTCACAAATAAATTGAGTTTGTTATAGCCCCCTCTCCTCATTTTCAGGAAGAGGCAGAAATCCAGGCAGAACTTGAACGTTTGGAAAGAGTCAGAAATCTTCACATACGGGAGCTCAAAAGAATAAACAATGAAGATAATTCACAGTAAGTCACTATTTCTATTTCACAGTTTTATATGACAAAAGTACCCTCCTTTCCCTTGGAGAGCATAAACAGTGTCCTTATTAGGCATCTCTGCAAACATAGAAAACACCCAGAGTGCATTCTGTGGCTTTGAGGGCCTTGTGTGATCTGGTTCCCCGCCACCTCACCATCTCAGCTCTCTCGTCCTCTCTGTTCCTATCATGGACACACACATCAAACATTTTCCTCTCTCAGGCCCTTTGTGCTTGCCATTCCCTCTGTTTGAAATACTCTTCTAAATATCTGAGCAGTTAATGTTTTTATTTCACATCACATGTTCCATAGAGAGACCACCGTACCTCAGAAGGCAGCCCCTACCTCACCTCATTTTCCCTTTCATATCCTTTTCCTTAATTTTCCATGGCATTTATCACTACCTGAAATTGTAACTTATTTTTAGTTTTATTTATTGTCTATCTCCTCCCACTAGATGGTAAGCTTCCTGAGCATGGTTATAGTTTGTTCTTGTATCACCAAAGCATAGGACCGTGTATGGCATATGATAGGTATTTAATAAGTATTTCTTGACTAAATGTCAAAATTACTGTTACAGCAGTGAAGGAGAAGTCATTTTAACCAGAGATATTCCAGTAAGCTATATATCTAGCATTATATAACAATACAGGAAGAAATGGGAAAAACCTACAAGTTATAGTCTCTGTTCTTAATCACTATCAAAATGAGTGTCATAGCTCTGCAGAATAAAAATATCTGTGTGTTTATGAGAGTTCATTTATTGGTGTACAGGAGAGGAATGATAGTTGTTTACACTTTGTCTTGAAGGTTAGTGGTGGAATTTAAAGCTTCATGACAATATATTTAGTGTCATAATCAGAAGTAGTCACTTTTGTGAAAAATGAATAATATGCTTAGAGAAAGGCCTGTTGTCATCTGTGGGTGTATAGATCACTTTAGCAAGTGAGGTAAATAAAGTAACACAAACTATCCTAAGTTCTATAAGATTTAAAATATAATAAAACAAATGGGATAAAACTAAAATTAACTTACTTGGAAAATTAAGTTCAATATTTTTGGCTGTGACTTAGAATTAGATAAAATGGATTGTTGTAGCTTTACAATGTACCTTAAGTCTAAATAGAAATCTCCTTATGTTTTTAAATTTTTCAGAAGAACTTAAATTATCACCCCTTCAACCTCCCCCTTTTTTTTCTTTAAGCCCTATCTGACCTGGAACTCACAGACTTGCCTCTGCCTCCCCAGTGTATTTACTGTTAATCTTGAACAGATTATTTATCTATACATACCCTTTCTGCTACACAGAGCCCTCATCTGTAAAAGAGACACAGTATCAGGGTTCATTTCATAGAATTGGTTGAGTCCTAAAAGAATTAACATATGTAAGTGCTTAATATATAACAGGTACATTAAATACTAACTAGTAATGATAATAATATTATTTGAGAGTGGTTTTTATGAGTTCTTTAAAAAATCTTGACTTTCAAAACAACGAATAAAATTTTGTTTAATAAAAGTCCAAAGACAATATGATGTAGCCATGGATAAAGATTAGTTGATAAATATAATTATTTTAAATGCAAGTCCTTATGAAATTTTAATCACGCATGATTTTTAACATAAAAGTATATTCCCAAGAGAAGTAATTTCTGAAAATTAAGTAGATAAAGGATTTCCTAACAAGATAATAATTGCTAGGTCTTTAAGAGAGTGCCACAAAAATTTTTTAAAAAGAGAGGGAGTGCTACAAGTGGTCATTGAATCTGAATAATCAGCTATTACAGTTACACTTTACTAGGTGATAGTCATGCAGGAAGAAAGTAAAAATTAGAAATATTGAGGCTGGGCGTGGTGGCTCATGCCTTTAATCCCAGCACTGGGAGGCAGAGGCAGGCAGATCTCTGTGAGTTCAAGGCCAGTCTGGTCTACATAGTAAGTTCCAGGACAGCTGGGGCTACAGGGAGACCCTGTCTCAAAAAGACCAAAAAAAAAAAAAATTAGAAATATTGAATGGCACCTAAAGTTAATAGCAGAATAATTGGGAAAGAAATAGCTAGGTGGAGATTAAGAATGAAACATTAGTGTTTGCAGGACTTTTTGTATGTCTTTTAATTTGCTTGAATGTTTTTTTTTCTCTGCCCTTTTAAGGTTCAAAGATCATCCAACATTAAATGAAAGATACTTATTACTTCATTTGCTTGGAAGAGGGGGCTTTAGTGAAGTGTATAAGGTAATGTTTTGTTTTTCATGCTATTACAGGAAAGATAGGGGAGTATGTGGTTAAAAAGTACTTGGCTTTTGTTTATTGACTTTAGACTGACTTTATCCTCACAATATAAAAAAGGAGCTTACTGTCGTTTATGTTGTCTTATCTCTAGAATCTAAGCACTGTTCTTATACCTGGATAGTCCATACTTTTTATTTTTTAAAAAATTTATTATTTTAATTTTTTTAATGTGTGTGCATGTATTGCCTACCTGTATGTAAGTGTACCCATTGTCATGCAATGCCCTCAAAGGTGAGAAGAGGGCATTGGATTCCCTGGACCTGGAATTACCAGATGGTTGTTAGCCATGTGGGTGCTGAGAACTGAACCTGGGTCCTCTGCAGGAGCAGCCAGTGCTCTTAACTACTGAGCCATCTGCAGCTCTTCACAGTCCTCATTTAATTCTCTCAACCGTTCCAATACTGAGGCTCCAAAGGTACCAATAGTCACTAGCAGAAAACTACTGAAAGTTCATCTGGCTTCAAAGAGAATATTCCTTTGTTGTTGTTGTTGTTTTGCTCTTTTTTTGTGATTAAATTCTGTAACTGGACAGTGGGCACATAGGAATTCATTATGCTCTTTACTTTTGTATAGATTTACAGTTTCATAATAAAAGCATAGATTTTTTTTCAATGAAAATTATTAAGAAACTATTAATCTTTTACAAAAAAAATAAAGAAGCGGGAGTTGCTAAGAAAAGACAGATAAAAGTACTTTGTTTTGCTGGGTGCAGTGGTGTAAACCTTTAATACATTTACTTGGGAGGCCAGCTAGCCTGGTCTACACGGTGAGTTCCAGGCCAGCCTGGTCTACACGGTGAGACCCTGTCCTTTAAAAAAAAAGTTGTTTTTTTTTTTTTAATTGTTTTCTCCAACACACATAAAAGCATTGTAGTCATCTTTTGGGCTGGTTGTCGCTGCTGCTGCCAGTATGAGGAAGCAGGCTCACACTAAAATGAATGTTGGCTTTATGTTTTGTTTTGATCCAAAATATTGGCGTCTAAAGAACTTAAATGTAAAAATTCATGTTAAGGTGTTTTCTGATTTTTTTTCCCATAAAATTTATATCTCATTTATTTTAAGTGTAGCCTTTAAAGCGTCTTAGAGAGGTGATCACTAAAAACTACAGTACTTATTCTGATACCATATTTTGTAAAAGTTATCATCAAAAATTGAAACTCTTTAGCTACCTGGTCTGTGGTGTGACTGTTTCCTGACTTGAATCCTAGGCTTTTGACCTATATGAGCAAAGATATGCTGCTGTGAAAATCCATCAGCTTAATAAAAGCTGGAGAGATGAGAAAAAAGAAAACTACCACAAGTAAGAATCCATATTTTACAGCCATTATAGACTGAATTTTTCATAGATTTGAATTTCATAGATTGGATTTGGTTACAGAGAATTAATACATTCTTTTCCCATAGACATGCCTGCAGAGAGTATAGAATACACAAAGAATTGGATCACCCCAGAATAGTTAAACTCTATGATTATTTTTCCTTGGATACAGATACGTAAGTGAATATAAGGATTTAACTTTTAAGAATACTTATTTCTGCTTTCCTGTATAATGATGGTATGAATATTCTCAATTTTTCTATTAAGATTCTGAATTACTGGATAAAAATTTTGTCTCTTTTTTTTCCCTCCCATTGAAGGTTTTGTACAGTGTTAGAATACTGTGAAGGCAATGACTTGGATTTCTATCTGAAGCAACACAAGTTAATGTCAGAGAAAGAAGCTAGGTCTATTGTAATGCAGATTGTAAATGCTCTAAGATATCTCAATGAGATTAAACCTCCTATTATACATTATGATCTTAAGCCAGGTAATTCGTGAAATTTATCTTACAATTTGGGGGATTGTTTGGTTGTGTATGTTTGTTTTTTGAGGCAGTCTCACTATATAGCCCTGGCAGGCCTGGGACTCACAGAAATCTGTCCTCTGCCCCCCCCAAGTGCTGAGATTAAAAGCATGCAGCACCTCACTTGAGATCTAAACAGGCATTTATTTATCAGAAATTAAGTTGTGAACAAATATATTTATTCAGTATATAATATGTCATTTAAAAATCTTCTATTTTGTTTTTAGGAAATATCCTTCTGGTAGATGGAACAGCATGTGGAGAAATCAAAATCACTGATTTTGGTCTATCCAAGATTATGGATGATGATAGCTATGGTGTAGACGGAATGGATCTAACTTCCCAAGGGGCAGGCACTTACTGGTAAATGTATTAGTACCTAGATCAGCTCTCAGTATTTTATGAGAATTCAGTTTTATTTTCAAATAGTCGTTGAGATTATTGTACTGAAGGTATTGCCTCTGAGCTGAGAGGAAAGCCCTGTACCTACTTTCTTTTTTTCTCTACACTGAGCAGCAAAAGGCAGTTTCCTTCTTAATAGTTGGTCAGGAAAGCTTGCTTTATGGGGCTGTGCAGAAAGTGCTAAGAGTCATGACCTCATGTAGAG